TTCCATTTCTTTTATATTCCTATTGAGGAAGAGCTCTTAATCATGTTTTTATTAGGTATTTCTGTTTATCTGTTTTTGAAAATTGAGTTTTTTCATTATTGTCTTACAATAGCAGAATCTTAATTATTCTGGCTAGAAAGCAGTCGGGTGTTATACACGGTGCAGACATTTTCTCTGATGCTTTGCTCCATTTTCAGTTTTGCTAATGGTGATTTTCTTCCAGCAATTACAACAAATATTTCAGCAATTACATTTTTCAGTAACTGTCTTCATGGCTTTTGGGTTTTATATTTCCACAGATAGGCCTCCTCTGCCTCAAATTATCAAACGATTTTATATTTCCATCTAAAACTTTTATAATTTTGTTGTTTCTGTTTAGTCTTTAAAACCATCTCTCTCACTCTCTCTCTCAATATATATATATTCTATATTTAAAAATAGATTTTTTTGTATCACAAGTTAGAAATCTAATTTTATGTGTGTTCGGTTGGATGGTTAATGTCACACCATCATTCGTTAAACAAATGGTCATTTTTTCATCTTTTTAACTTGACTTTTAGTGTGTATTAAATTACATATGTACATGGGTCTGTTTCTGTTCTACTTTAGTGTATTGACTTTTTTATCTATACTTAGAGAAATATCACAGTACTAATTGGTACTGTTTTGTTATTTCTTTGTGCAAGGAGGCCCCCGCCATTTGTCTTTTGTTAATTATAATTTTACATTTTCTCTTTCAGATGAAGTTTGGAATCAGCTTGTCAATCTCCATAAAAACCTTATTCTGTTTTGATTATGATTACATTTGATTTATGTTTGGGTGAAGAATGGATATATTTATAATATTGAGTCTTTTCATCCAGGCATGTTATAATATCATATATCTTTTCATTTATTCAAGTCTACTTTTATGTCCCTATTTTATTTTATAATTGGTTAATGCTGGTATTAGGACAACAATTTTTGAGTTCTGCGTTCTCAAGCCTCTATTATGTCAAATTCACTTTAGCTAAATTTGGACTACCTAAATGCGTGTATATACATATATATGTGTGTGTATACTTATATAGTTAAACACATATATACGTATATGTGTTTCACATAGTTACGTATATTTTTCCATGTAATTCTTGCTTATTACTTTAGACTTATTTCTTATTTTTGCTTGCTTATTTATTTGTTTTGCTATTATGAATGAACTTTTCCCCCATTACACTTTTAAATTGGTTAAGTGGTCTGTAGAAAACTTATCCTAGGTCTGTGTTATGGGTTGAATTGTGCCTCCTCGCCCCTCAAAAAAATTTAAATAATGAAGTCCTAAACTCCAGTGCTTCAG